GGGGTACCTAACCTTCAAATCACAGGAAATCAATCTACAGTATCTTCTGAGGGAGAGTAATTATGCATATGGATTTTAGAAACGTTTGAGATGCGGGTAAATTTGGCCTCTGTCATATCTTAAGATCAGCTTTTTCAGACTCACAAGTAATAAAAAGAGGACCCGCCTCACTCAGCCAATCAGCTTTCAGCCCAAAGAGTCAAACTGACTTGATAGCTTTTTCTTACAATAATGCTAAATATTTTCTAATGACATGAAGATAGCATACTGTCTTAGAGGACATTCAACGACATTTATCAAAATTTTTGGACATTGGTCGTCTTCCCCTTATGAACCAATGGCTCTCTGTGTTTTCAATCATTGCATTTTTTGTGTTTGAACTGTTTGATTCTCTGATCTGTGTTGGCGAGTCAACGCCTTTGTAAAGTCCCCCAGGATAACTACTGTTGTGATTTAGGGCAAGACAAAAATACATGGAATTTAATGCCGTGGCCTGATTTTTGCTTGGCTCATGTACTATTTTTGATAAAAAGGTTAGGTACTCCCGCTTTAAAATGTTTTATACTGAATATAGCAGTTATAAAAAAGCAGTTATGGTCATAACATACAGTGCCTTGCGAAAGTATTCGGCCCCCTTGAACCTTTCAACATTTCGCCACATTTCAGGCTTCAAACATAAAGATATAAACATTAAATTTTTTGTCAAGAATCAACAACAAGTGGGACACAATCGTGAAGTGGAACGAAATTTATTGGATAATTTAAACTTTTTTAACAAATAAACTGAAAAGTGGGGCGTGCAATATTATTCGGCCCCCTTGCGCTGATACTTTGTAGCGCCACCTTTTGCTGCATTTACATCTGCAAGTCGCTTGGGGTATGCCTCTATCAGTTTTGCACATCGAGAGACTGGAATTCTTTCCCATTCTTCCTTGCAAAACAGCTCGAGCTCAGTGAGGTTGGATGGAGAGCGTTTGTGAACAGCAGTCTTCAGCTCTTTCCACAGATTCTTGATTGGATTCAGGTCTGGACTTTGACTTGGCCATTCTAACACCTGGATACGTCTATTTGTGAACCATTCCATTGTAGATTTGGCTTTATGTTTTGGATCATTGTCCTGTTGGAAGATAAATCTCCGTCCCAGTCTCAGGTCTTTTGCAGACTCCAACAGGTTTTCTTCCAGAATGGTCCTGTATTTGGCTCCATCCATCTTCCCATCAATTTTAGCCATCTTCCCTGTCCCTGCTGAAGAAAAGCAGGCCCAAAGCATGATGCTGCCACCACCATGTTTGACAGTGGGGATGGTGTGTTCAGGGTGATGAGCTGTGTTGCTTTTACGCTAAACATATCGTTTTGCATTGTGGCCAAAAAGTTAGATCTTGGTTTCATCTGACCAGAGCACCTTCTTCCACATGTTTGGTGCGTCTCCCAGGTGGCTTGTGGCAAACTTTAAACAAGACTTTTTATGGATATCTTTGAGAAATGGCTTTCTTCTTGCCACTCTTCCATAAAGGCCAGATTTGTGCAGTGCACGACTGATTGTTGTCCTATGGACAGACTCTCCCAGCTCAGCTGTAGTTATCTGCAGTTCATCCAGAGTGATCATGGGCCTCTTGGCTGCATCTCTGATCAGTCTTCTCCTTGTTTGAGATGAAAGTTTGGAGGGACGGCTGGGTCTTGGTAGATTTGCAGTGGTCTGATACTCCTTCCATTTCAATATAATTGCTTGCAGAGTGCTCCTTGAGATGTTTAAAGCTTGGGAAATCTTTTTATATCCAAATCCGGCTTTAAACTTCTCCACAACAGTATCTCGGACCTGCCTGGTGTGTTCCTTTGTCTTCATGGTTCTCTCTGCGCTTTAAACAGAACCCTGAGACTATCAAAGAGCAGGTGCATTTATACAGAGACTTGATTACACACAGGTGCATTCTATTTATCATCATCAGTCATTTAGGACAACATTGGATCATTCAAAGATCCTCACTGAACTTCTGGAGTGAGTTTGCTGCACTGAAAGTAAAGGGGCCGAATAATATTGCACGCCCCACTTTTCAGTTTTTTATTTGTTAAAAAAGTTTAAATTATCCTATAAATTTCGTTCCACTTCACGATTGTGTCCCACTTGTTGTTGATTCATGACATTTTTATATATTTTTTTTCACTGTACATATATTTGAAAACAATAAAAAACAGAAGTCATACTGTTTGAGCACCACTAATCTCGTTACAGAGAGTGTCAAAATTGATTAGGATTAAGATTAAAAGATCCTCTATTCCTCCCGCAGTGGGGAACTTTCAGTGTTGCATCACAAGTTACAGAACAGTAGGAATGAGGAGCACACAACTAACTTAAAAATAAAATATAACAAAATGTTTATCTTTGAGTATTTCAATATTTTATACTCTTGTGCAAGAAATATCTACTTGTATGTATAAATCTGCAGATCCGCTGTAAGTAATGCCCTTTAGTTAATAATATTAAGGTTATAAGTCATTAGGGTTCCAATATTTCACAATGATGAATTTATACATGTTAGCATCATGAGGTTCTGGGCTAAAAGTGACTCATGCTAATTCTAACATTACTTAAAACTATTGAACATGTATGACGTCTGGTCGGCAGTGTGCATTAGTCCTTCAATTCTGCTCCTAATCTATTCAAATTTGTGAAATCAATCCACCCATCTTTTTTTCTTCCGCAGTTTCTGACCACCTCCTTGTTCACTTCAAACCTGGCTGTGAACCCAATTTCTTGTTCGGATTCTGCAAAAACGACCATCCAAGTTTGGATCGAAAAGTCTCTTATTGATTTTGTAGTAACACACGTTTTGGCAGCTCCAAGTAAAAGTAAAGCGTTCTCTTCTTCCTTCCTGAGTGGAGCTTTTGTCTCATCTCTGGTGCGACTGTGGCTGAATGGGGTGATGTTATTCTCAGGGTTTTGGAGATGTGCGCTCAGGGGGGCGTTTTTTTGTCAGTCACACTGAAGCAGCTCGATGAATACTATTTACAACAGCAGCGTGAGAGAGATTACCCAGGCAATTGGAAACCCAGACAGAGAGAGACAGAGCTCAGAGGAGGTGTGTGGCGATAAAAGCAATAATGCAGCAGGGAGTGAGTGAATGAATCGCACTGCGCAGAGTCGGACTGAAGACGTGCTTTTCTCTGATCATGATCTATAGCATATGTGGATTAGTATTATTATTATTATGGTTTACCTTTGAACATTCTCAATATGTATCTAAAACAATGTAGAAAAATGTCAACACACTTCTGTATTCAACCCCACTGTGTCGGTATCTATGTATGCACTAGCTTTCATTCGTGCAGCAACCCTCCTCCTCCCCATCATGTTGTGAATACAGTGCTTTCTGTTATTTTTGATATTTTTATATGGCTCAAAATAAAGTATTCTAATCTAAATCACCGCTTCATCAGCCTGGTCCGGCAATTTAACCATTCTCTAAGCTTTCACCACCAAGTTCAAGCTCCTGGGGGACTTTATTTCAAAGTCTCTAGTTTAATTTCTCCTTCTGCACTCGTCATGCAGTGCTCTGTCAGGGCCTAAGAGCAAAATCATAACCACATTTCACGTACAGCATGCAATAAATGTCATTCTTGCATTCACGTCTGCAGAGTCTTATACGCTCCTTTATGTAGTGACAGTGACAGATTACTTGCCAACCAATAAATACTATTCTAACAACCTTCTTGTGCCCGTTTGAGTCTCTCCAGATTGACACTGACTTTTCTTTTGTAAGGTTGTTGGAGTGTGTATTGTCGTCATATTATCGGGCATTCGACTTAATTGCAAATTGAATGTGCAAATTACATCCAGGAGACAAGAGCTCTCTTGATTTAAAATATATTGAAAGAAAATCCAACATGAAAAGCTCTTAAAACTGTGGAAGAGTATTAAATAAACTAACCTCTCTCAATAATTGTGGTTAATTTAGCAGCACGGCTATGCTCCTAAAGTGGAGCGGTATAATACAAACACTTTAACTCGTCCATTTCCCCGTGAAAGCTGTGGCGTCTTGATTATAGAGTGCCTAAATAACCCTTCACAAGTCGAACACTGCATTTGGATTACTAATGAACCGGAAGCATCACTCAAAAGCAGAGCGCGTGTGCCTTTTCCAGACTTTTAAAAATACATAATCTCCTGAGTTCACATTATCGATTCACATTTTCAAACTCAGTGACGGCAGTGTGTTAAGATCTGTTTAAGGCCCCGTTTACATTGAGACACTGCGAAGCAATTTGTAAATGCGACCCTGCTCTGGATATGAAGTGTAAAGCGTCTATATGGCGACGGAGAGGTTGTAGTTCTAGCGCCCGGCCAGTAGTAGGCAGTGGAACTTTACAACAACTCCCCACCGCGCAGCGTATCTGTTTTGTTTCACTCTGGGGGCCGTTTTCACCGCTTGCGTTTTCACCCTCCTGAAGCACTGCCAATTCTTTGGTTTTACTGTTGCAGTATCTCTGTGTAAACAGGACCTAAATATTAGTCACATTGTACAATAAGATAAAAAGAAACCAGTTAGAGTAGGTAGAAGTAAAACTTATGTTCTCTACCCCTTTTTACCATTTCTTTCTTTTGTTTCTTTTACGGTTTTGCTATTTCCTTGAGAGATGTTTGGCTGAATCATCATTCACTTTACAGTACAAACTCACAGATGCCATGTGAAGTTCTAGGTAGGTTGGTATCTTGGTATACATTTCTTCAAGGGAAATGAAATTAATGATGCTTCACGCTTCCCCTTTGATGTTGTAATGCTATTTATGCTGGCAGCAGCTGTTTCTATTGTAAAGGCCCGAGTGTTTAGAATTCAGATCACTTCCCTTTTGCTCAAGTCAGTGCCTTGTCCTGCGAATGACCCCTCTTCCAGCTCCCAGTGGAACAGAGCCTCACCTCTCGACACGCTTGATTACAGATATTTCCTTTTGAATACTAACTCGAGTTCTGGCTGTTTGTGATGCTACGGTATACGACCAGCGTGATGCTACTGTATGCGACCAGCGTGATGCTACAGTATACGACCAGCGTGATGCTACTGTATGCGACCAGTGTGATGCTACAGTATACGACCAGTGTGATGCTACAGTATACGACCAGCGTGATGCTACAGTATACGACCAGCGTGATGCTACAGTATACGACCAGCGTGATGCTACAGTATACTGTACGACCAGCGTGATGCTACAGTATACGACCAGTGTGATGCTACTGTATGCGACCAGTGTGATGCTACAGTATACGACCAGTGTGATGCTACAGTATACGACCAGCGTGATGCTACAGTATACGACCAGCGTGATGCTACAGTATACGACCAGCGTGATGCTACAGTATACTGTACGACCAGCGTGATGCTACAGTATACGACCAGCGTGATGCTACAGTATACGACCAGCGTGATGCTACAGTATACAACCAGTGTGATGCTACAGTATACGACCAGCGTGATGCTACAGTATACGACCAGCGTGATGCTACAGTATACGACCAGCGTGATGCCACAGTATACGACCAGCGTGATGCTACTGTATACGACCAGCGTGATCGTGGTGAAAATTTGCAAACCCGCCTACACCAGTCTTTTTTGGAGGCCACCCAGACTTTCTATTGACCTGTCTCTCGATAAAAAAATATTCAGAAACGTCTAAGTAAGATTCGGCTGCGGCAGATTCTCTGTGTGTGCTGCCTGTATAGAATTGTGATGTTTTCTTGTGGGAATAGATTTTTAATGGTATACTTAATTATCACTGTTAGTAATATTTATTTATCTGCTCTTGACCCATTCTTCAAAGCCACTAGGGCGACCTATGAGGAGCAGCGTCCTGGAACCCATTTCTTATTGTTGATGTTTTCCTTTGTCAGGACCACTGGAGCTGATGGATTTTATCTATGATGCATGTCTGGAGTGGGGGAACTGGAGCTCACAAAGGATGGTAAAAATGACAATGACTTTGGAGGGATTCTGAGAAAGCCACGGACTAATGCGTCTGAACTGTTTGTTAATTATTGTCTTGTGTGTCTGTTTTAAATTGGACAGTAAAAAATTTGAATTGAAAGTAAGTTTAGTAACCATTTAATACTAAAAATAATCTTGACTGACGGCCCTACTATTATCTGTTTTACCTTGATATCTAGGATGATTCTAAGAGCTCCCTCAGTGTTTGTTCTTTAGTTCAATGTAAAACCTTGTGGTCTATTTTTGAGCAGTATTTTGGCTTCTTGTTTCAGTTTAAGAACGTCCATGTGGAGGCTCTCTCTCATATGGCTGTGCAGATGGCAGTTCTGGCTCCGGGCTTCACTGGTGCTTTGGCCCACAGCTCACAGCGATGCGTTCAGGGACCACTGTGCTTTTGCACGACACTTAATGCAACTTCAGAGGAGCATGAGTGGAAAAAAGACATCACAATAACTGCAAGAGAAAGGCGTGGGATTGGAAGAGTGTTCCAAAGGAGAGTGGACCTAAAATAAGGATTGATTGAGCATTTTAGATTCCGAAGACTTTATTTATCCCACCACGGGCATTTTGTTTGAGCAGCACAGAGATGTATAACATAAGTGATATGATATGAAGTGAAGCCTACACAAACATATGAACATAATACACCAATATAATATTTTTAGGTGGCACATTTAAGTATAGAGGCTGAGTAAGTGAGTGCGGTAAGGGATGAAAACATACTGAGTTGAGATAAACCGTTTTGTGTCTGTATTATTCACTTTTCCAATGTTGATTGACTTCAAATTTCTTCAATTTTATGCTTTTATTTTTTCAAAGTGGGCTGAAAAAATAAAATCAAATCAATAATAAACCAATGCATCTGGTACAGAGATTGCAACCCAAAAAGGATACTCTTGATTCACTGAGCATCTGCTAAAACTAAAAGATTCAAAATGATCTTTGCTGACCACCAAAAGTTGAAAATATAGACATTTTGTGTTTCTCAATGGTATTCAGTTGTCATAAGTTGACTTCTCAGCAGAGGTGAAATTCTTTATGACATGTGCTAAACGTCCTGTCCAGCTCTCGTTCGGGCCCAGTGCCCCCGTCAAAATCTGTGCCCCTCATTTTCACTCTGTCTTTCTCCTTTGATGAGCAATTTCACACACTCCCACTCACTTCCATTTCACTACATTTCATCTCAGGACAGACCGGCTGCAGCCACACGGAGAATTGTGCAAGCTCCATAGAAACTTTTAGGATCCTGTCAAACAACCAGGTGACTCGATTCAACTCAATAAATCAGATAAATGTGTTCTATTGATTTGCAATGTACCAAATTGAACACAGAGGGAAAGAACTGGGAAGGCCTTTGTCAAAAATAGATCCCCAGAGTCTAATTTTGATTCAATGTTATATCTGTCTAAGAAAGATCATTTATTATCAACAAACAAAGGGGATGCATCTATATCTTCTTTCAGTTGAGTTCAAGAAGAGAAGAGTGGGCTACTTTTAGAATCTTATTTACTCATTTACAACTAGAAGAATGGTCTGACTAACTACTAACTAAATGTATCGGCGATTTGAGAAATGACGTGAAGGAAAGCCGCACGACTTCAGTGATATTTTACTTTTATGTCCGCATCGCTGAGCCTTACTACAGCACGATAACCAAAAGATTCCCTAACGGTGTAGTGTGTTACTGATGGTAGCCTTTGTTACTTTGGTCCCAGCTCTCTGCAGGTCATTCACTAGTTCCCCCCGAGTGGTTCTGGGATTTTTTTCTCAACGTTCTTGTGATCATTTTGACCCCACGGGATCTTGCATGGAGCCCTAGATTGAGGGAGATTATCAGTGGTCTTATATGTATTTCATTTTCTAATAATTGCTCCCAAGGATTTAGTCTTCCTAGCCTGGTGCAGGTCTACAGGTCTCTTTGGTCTTGGCCATAGTGGAGTTTGGAGTGTGACTGTTTGAGGTTTGTGGACAGGTGTCTTTCATATGTTCAAACAGGTGCCATTAATACAGGTAACAAGTGGAGGACAGAGGAGCCTCTTATCGGTGACCAAATTCTTTAAAAATCAGACACTTTGATTTTCTGGATTTTTTTTCTCATTCTGTCTCTGATGTTGAGATATACCTATGATGAAAATTACAAGCCTCCATCATCTTTTTTAACATCTCATATTTATTTGCCCCACTGTACAGATTTAATAAAAGCAAAATCGAAATCCAGAGTACACAACAAAAGGTACCCAAACAGGGATGGAGGACAAGCACTAAAACACACGTGTAATGACAATGATGGAACAGGGAGGTCTAAATACAAGACTAACAGGTGATACACAATAGGTCATTAGAAACAGGAAGTCGAACTAAAGATCCAGGAGCAGCAAAAATTACAAAATAAAACAGTAAATAAACCTAAACCATGACATTTGTATCACTTCATCAAACACAGTATCTCACACACACACACACACACACACACACACACACACACACACACACACACACACACACACACACACACACACACACACACACACACACACACACACACACACACACACACACACACACACACACACACACACACACACACACACACACACACACACACAAAGTCACTGCAGTATATTATGATGAGGAACCACCAATGTGTGCTGTGCTCTTCAAAGGACATTTCACACAATGCCTCACACAATGTTTAAATACAGTATACACTGAAAAGTTTTACTGTTACCCCCCGAGTTCAACTTGACTGAACTTTTCGACTTAGAGCTTATATCTTCTGTCTATAGATAATCTCTCGATGCATGTTTCTTGTATAATTCATTACATATGCCCCGGCTTCTGCGCTTTTCCCGGACAAATCCCTCTCCCTCGTCCTCTGCTGTTGTTCCTACATAAAAGTATTTGCTCTCCTATCTGCACACATCTATAATAAATGTATGTGTTTGTGTGCGATGTGCGGTGATGCATAAGAGAGCGGAACGTAAAAGGGCTGAAGAGGACAGATGTAGATAGACTGTGGCTATAAGGACGGATGGGGGTTAGGGGTGGGGGTTTGGGGGGGTAGTTTGTTGTATTTCTGATGAAGTGGTCTGAAAATCATGCACTCCGAGGCTCATCGCCCGTGGAGCTGTGTGGTCCTGGGGGATGTCCGCGCCTCCACATGTCCATATGGTACCAGAGACGGAATCAGGCCACATAGTAGTCAGCACTATGCAACGGATCATGTTTAATAGTCACTTATAAAAATTGATGCCAGAGCAGATCCAGGAGCCTTTTTTGGATTTGAGTTCCATATCCTGGTTGGGTCTTACACTGACTCACAGCTTCAGCAAAACAATTATTTTGCTTCTTGATCATTCCTGTTATATCAGTTGATAAAGTAAGAATCCCAAACTGTTACTTCATTTGAGTTGAAGAAATAATTGGCCCAATGTCATCCTTCAAATTATGGTATGTACGGGCTAAATAGGCAAGGCAAGTTTATTTGTATAATTCATACACAGGAAAAAAAACAGACAATAATCACAGTGCATTAGAGAGCAAATAAATACAGGCATCAAAATTGATTTTCGAAATTTCTAATGGATATGTATTTGCCTCTAACCCATTTTAATTTATGCTGGGAACTCTATTTGTATACTGGTGCCTCTAATCCTATTTTAATGTATACTGGTCATTTGAGAAGTGAAAGGGTAAATCTCACTATGTATTTTTGGATGTTAATCTATCATAAAGTCTCCTTTGCAGCCACACTTTGGACTTAAGCGCACTGAATGATTCAATTATTTCATACGGCAATTAATCTATTTCATAATCTAACTTGTAGCCTGAACATAATGTGCGTATTTCCCCATCTCCATTTCTCTGCTACTGCTTATATTACTCTGGCTGCATACTCCATTTATCATGAGCACCTTTGCCGCTCCGCCTTCTCATAATCTGATGAATGACACTGGCCTCCCCACTTCATTTCACACTGTCACTGCCACACACACACACATACAAACGTACTGTTGAATTTATAAATAAGAGACATTCTAAAACCATGTGTATTATGATCTATCGACCTCTGAGTGGCAGGCCAGTCCTTTTAAGTTAATTTTAGGGGTCTTCTTGGGGGACCAGCTAAAGTAACAGATGGGTTCTTCTGTTTGGATTTTGTCTGCCTAGTCTTGGCCCCTGCTGACTTCTGCATTATTGAACCCACTCCATCAGGAGTGGGTTGACACTGGAGTCTGCCAGTCTACTCACTACTTGTTTAGACAACAGAGATGGATCTCAGACCAAGTGACAGCTGCGTGGAGTGTTAGGTTAGAAAAGCATGAATCCTTTTTTAGGTGCGGACTGGAGACGAGAAGACCAGATGGGGGAAGGCGGATCACGGGACCCCGGAAGCTGGCTGATACCACGCCCCTTCTTCCCCAATGCACATTTTACATATAGTAGATAGTTTGAATGTGTGGTTAGTTAGTTTTTTGCGGACCAGGGGCAGTATATGGCTTGATGTGGAGCGCCCACTCAGAGTCATACTTTTAGATTTTATATAGAGAATAAGGGATAGTTATTTTTGGTCCGAACAGCTGTTTTAGATTCTTTTTGTATTAGGGAAATAAACCTTTTTGAATTTAACTTTCTGAATCATGGTCATCTTTATAAGGGATTTTGAACACGTCATTTTTTAATTACGTTAAT